TTAAATTCTTGATCCTCCTGCCTCAGCTCCCAAGTGCTTGGATGAATGGAGTGGGTTTGGTTTTCTGTCTTATTAGAATGATTTAGCTTAACGTCAGACCAGGCATGGTGGCACATACCTTTAACCCCAGCACTCAGGAGGCAGAGGCAGGCAGATCTCTCTGAGATCAAGACCAGACTGGGCTCCATATGAAATTCCAGGCCAGCTCAGACTACAGGGAGATCCTGTCTCAAAAACCCAAAAAATATATACATACATAAATAAGTAAAACACATGCTGACCCATGAAATTATCTGTCTGTCTATCTACCTACCTATCTACCTACCTATTATTATGTTTTGACCAGGTCTCCCTAGTCCCTGCCTGCCTGGAAGTCACTATGTGGGCCATGCTAGCCTTGATCTTACAGAGATTCCCCCTGCCTCTGCCTCCCAAGGGCTGAGATTAAAAGCATATGCCACAATGTTCAGCTGTTTAAACTTCTTTATGTGTATGCATGTATTGCCTGCGTGTAGGTAAATGCGCCTGTGCAATGCCAGAGACGCAGAAGCGACTGTTGGATCCCCTAGAACTGGAGTTACGGACATTTGTTAGCTGCCATGTGGGTACTAGGATTTGAACCCGGGTCTTCTGCAAGAACAGTCAGTGTTCTTATCCACTGAACCATCTCTCCAGCCCCCTCAGCTGTGTAAACTTGAGATAAGGTCCCATGTATCCCAGGCTAGCCTCAGATTTGCTCTGCAGCTGAGGATGACCTTGGACTAACTCCTAATTCATCTGCCTCCACTTCCCAAGTGCTGGGATTCTAGGTGTGTACTATCACACCCAATTTATTTATTTATTTATTTATTTATTTATTTGTTTGTTTGTTTGTTTTCTTGTTTTGACCTCATGGGTCTTGCTATGTTACTTAGGCTAGCCCTGAGTTCCTGGATTCAAAGCAATTCTCCAGCCTCAGTCTGCATTTTTATTTTATTTTATTCTTTTAAACAGGGTCTCTCCCTATAGCCCAGGCTGACCTTGATCTCATAGAGATCCCCTTTCCTTCCTCTCCTGAGTGCTGGGGTGACAGGCATGGGCCACCATGCCAGCTTTAAATTTTTTTCTTTGGAGGCATGGAGCATAGGCTGAACTTTAGAGGTGAGGATGAAGTTCTGACCCCATCTCCATCATCACCAGGCTGGGGGGGTGCATGGTCTCGGGATATGCCTGCCTGTAGTTCTAGGAAGGATCCCACCAGGTCCCCAAGGATGGTACAGCCCCCAGTCCCTACTGGAGTTGGCAGAGGGAGGCAGAGGCAGGCAGAAGTCTGTGAGATCAAGGACAGCCTGGAATCTCTCCTCTGTCCCCAGCCTGTTTCCGCCTACACCAGTAGTTTGTGCTGGGGACACTGAAGAAGTGGCAGGATTAGACCAGATGTGGAACGTCCATCTTGGAATTCTTCAGTGTTCTTGGGGTGCCTCTCCCGTGGAGGGAAATTGGATGGAAGGCCAGGGTGGCTTAAGGAAGGGCAGCCTGGAATTGATCCTGGGACCAAAGTTCCTGGTCTCCACCCACACCCTGAGCCCACGTGGTCCATTCCAGTCCCTTCCCATCTACCTGGCTGGTTTCCCTGCCAGGCCCGGGGCTTTGCGGTTTTTGGTTTCCTAGGTTCCCCCACAAAGACAATTTATCAATCCCAAATCCCAAATCAGTCCATT